AGCATACAAACTGTCGCTGATGCTTTCCTCTACATCTTTGTCTTCTGTTTCCACGGTGGCTTTCATCTGTTTCAAAGCACTGATGATGAGCTGCAGATTATCTTTAATGCTGAAGTTTTCTTTTACTGACATGGTGGGGAAGTTGGTGCCAAGATGCGCATTGAGGAGTCGGAACATTGTGTTCGTTGAAGAGACAAAGATGTACACTAAGTCATACAGATTCTGGCAGGCCATGAGCAGCCTTTCTTTATCACTCTTAAATCCAAGGCGGGCTAACATTTTTGGAGTGGGGTCTGACTCTGAAAAGCAAACAGAGGAAATCCAGAAGACACAGGGGAATAAAACTGGAGATATTTTCAGCTAGAATATTACATTTCTGAAACCACTATTACAAATTATCAACTCACCTGACCCACCCTCCCCCAAGACATTATAGTTAGAAGAAAACACAGAAAAAGCCCCTTGTCAGACTTTGCAGGGGTCTTACCAAACAAGCCAGCAAAATATGGTGTAAACAGCTGCAAGTATCGTTCCTCTTACGGCTGCAGAAAGTATGACTCCGACCTTCAGCATGCAATCTGAAAAGCAATAGAAATACTGTAAGTTAATTATTTTTACCTTTTGGTGTTTATTGCTAAATTTAAAGGAGTCCTAGCAAACAATCTACATTACCTAATTCTTGGAACTATAATCCTTCAGTTTGTATATACCGGTGGGTCTACACAAAATTAAACTCATATTCTGGGGAGGGGGGAATAGGCGCAGCAAGGTCAAATGCATCAGACATCTACATTCAAAAGAAAGCAACTGAAGACTGAGTAATGCAATGTTTTGTTAGGCTACAGTTTCCTGTGGAATGGCCCATATCTGTCAGTTCATACAATGGCTGGATGTCGCAAGCATCCCTTGATAGGTGGAAGCACAAGTTCTTGCTTAGGCTCACATTTTGCTAGCATTTTGACTACTAAGGAAGTTATGTCCTTCTGCTTACACCTAATAGTTTTCCCAAGGCCAACTGCAGGTACAGGCCTGGGACAGCACACAGCTGAGGGACTGCTCCTGATGTTGCCTTTGCTTGAACCAGAGCCCTGGGAAGCCAGACTGGTTGCAGTGGACATGTTTCATCAGCAATTGCTGTGGTTAGATGTGCAGTTAGATGTGTCCAAGGAGTAACACCTTCCCATCCCACTTCATACTTTTAAAGACTTTTCTCTCAGTGCTCAGCTCAACCCTCTGCCTCTTCCTCCTTTCCCTTTCCATGGCAAAAGTGGTCTGAAATTGTGAAATGGCAAAATGATTTTAGCCTCCAATGCTGCTCAGTCAGAGCTGGCTCTGGGGTTTCACACCACTTCTTGCACTTTCACGGCATCAGAGGAGAGGACTGGGCAAATTGCAACAAGGAAGGGTGACAGGCACTCCAGATGAAGTCCTTTCCTCAAACTTAATAGGTCTGAAACAATCACTATTAATCTTTCCTAAAGACCTGGAGTAAAGCAGGAACAAAACTGCTTGTTTATTGTTTAAGTAATTTTTCTGTTATGTTCCAAATGATAAAGACTCTAGAAGAGAAGAATTTGCATCCACTGCAAACCTTGAAAACCTGAAGTCAGTTTCCAGCCTTCAGAATGTGACAGAGAGGCAGTTGCCAGCCTGAACAATTAAATTCAGTCCAATACTTGAAGAAATATTTTTGGACTACATGGCATTCTCAGTTAACAAGAGGAGTCACAACTAATTGACGATTGCAGAAATGTAATATTTAAATTCTTAGTGTTCTCTCTCAGCTTATCTTCTCATGCCTACAGCTCTGAAAACAAGGGGAGTTTGGTACTCTGGCTCTGGGTTGAATACAGTAACTCAGATTTCAGGGGAAAACAAGCTGGCAATTGCAAAGTACACATTTTATGCTTGATCTTTACTTTCATCTAAGAAATGAAACTTTCATTCTCTACTGAGGAAGCAGCATTCACAACCAGAGCCTAATGAGCAGGAGGTCCATCTTTCTAAGGATGAAAGCATGAAAGATGTCTAGCTTGGATGAAGGCAGAAGTACAAGCTTGTCTTTCTGGGACAGACAAAGCCTGTTTTCATTGTCTGTGGTATCTATTTTTCTATTTGTGTTTGACTGTTCAACTTTTCTTCCATAATTCACAGGTGTACAAAGCCAGTCATGGCAACACTTCATTATTTCAAGGAACAGCTGCGAGTATTAGCTTTTAATGTTTATACTTATAAACAATAGATATTCCTAAATCCCAGCACAAAACCTAATCCTCTGTCTGTATGAATGAAAAGTGCTGTCCTACATGTTTTATGTTCTGAGAGCAGCAAGTAATACCAATCCTTTCAGCCACAGCTGCAGGCACCTGTGACGGTACAAGAATTGGAAACTAGCATGAAATAAACTGAAATTTGTTAAAATTGGAAGGAAGGGGAAAGGAGGAAGAAAATGAGGTGAATCTGGGTAAACATCACACAATAGAATTAATGATAAGCAGGCAGGCCACAGGACCCAGCTGAAGCCCAGCCTCTGGATCCCTAACTCATCACATGCTGCTGGAAACCACCAGAGGAACACAGGGGAAAGAGGATTTAGTTGCTGTCCCATACACATTTCAGCTGATTGCAGGAGCACTCAGATGAAATCAGGTAGGCAGTCTAAATCTTTAATCAGAAAAGCTTCTGGAGAAAATCTTCCTGGAGCTGGAGAAATAGTCAGAAAGAAAGAAAGATATGTGTTCTGCCTAACTCTAGAAAGTGATTGTAAAAACTAGCCAAAGTGTTAATGTGAAGAGTAAGAGGTAATTTTAGCATTAAGAGACAAAATCTAGAGCAGTTGTAGGAAGCTGAAATAATAATGCATGAAGAATAGATGCTAAAAGTCTCCTCCACACCTGTCTCGTGCGTAAAACGTGTGTGGAAGTCCTATTCCTCTTGGAAAATTTTGTCTTCTCAGTTTCTACAAATAAGGAAAAACAAAAGACCTTTCAACAAAACATCACTGGAATGGAAAGGATCTAATATCACACTGAGTCAGAGAGCAAGCCAGCAACATCCTTGAGGCAGGACGGATATGAAATCATACCTTGCATTGACATGGCTTTATGTTTCTTGAAAATCACAGAACTTTACTGTATATATACTTTGTTCCCTCCAGCTTGAAGAAAAAGAAAGATGTGTTAAAGAGTTTATTCTCTTGACAGAGCTACAAGGTAAGTGGCTGGAAGAAATGTATAGTACCGTGCAAAATATTGTGGAAGAAATTCTCTTCAGACTGGTTTGTATTTCAACACTGAGACTAAAAGTTGGCTAGGGGTCTTTTAAAATAATTCTGTTTTTCTACAGTGATCTTGTGGGGGAGGCTGTGATTAGTAAAATATAGCTGGGTCAGTATCAGATGATTTGCAGTTAGCAGATAATGCAAGAACTACAAAGGACCAACATGACACAAAGCTATCATTTATGAAGAAAAATCTAGCTAGTCTCTTACACATAACTATCTGTAGCTGTACCTGTGATACGTAGGCACTGACAGCAAAAAAAGATTTATCTTGGGAAAATGAAAAGCACCGCATAAAAGTGGTCCAGATTTGCAATAGCAGGGCTGAGAGAATGCAAAAGTACCAACAAAGAACCTAGTCACCCTACTCATTCACAGCTTTACCCCTGTTGCAAAGTAAGACACATGCACTTACGTCAAAATCATGCTAAAGTACTTTGCAGCTGGCGATGGGTTAAAAGGAAGTGGCACAGAGCTGATTAGAGAAGCTTAGTGATGAGTAGTAACTCCATGATCACTGGTAATTCAGTCACTATGACATGCAGGTGATGAAGAAAAGTGTATTAAATATGCCCTTTTGGTGGCAAACCAGTGATGACTCAGAGAAGAATGGAGACCGTAAGGATTAGATACAAGTGTTTGGGGCAAAGGAGACTGCAGCAATCAAAGAAGTTAAATTTTGTGCTCTGGTTTGTACAGTGATAACGGAGGGTCAGATTCTGCTCAGTCATGTTCTAGGAGCTTGGTGAGCACCCACTGGTGTCAGCTCCACACAGGTCTCCCTGGGTCTGGAGATAGTGTGGCTGTGCAAGCAAGGCCCTCCTTGCAAGCTGGTCTGTGCTGCTCCAAGGCAGTCTGCCATCACAGACGACCTGGTGGTGTAGGTGCACCTCACGGTGCTTACACAGCACACTGGAGATCACGGGGCTGTCTGCAGCTGTTTGATTTCACGGGGGGAAAAAACCAACAGGGAATCACAGCATTAGGGATGTGAAGAAACAGTGAGGGAGCAGGGGCTAAATATGAAGGAAGAAAAAACAGTGGGAGATGTGCATGGTGATATAGGTTAGGACAGGTTTATTTTAGATAATTTTACTATTCTCTATGGATTCCCAAGTGTGAGTTTATTAGTATAAGCACAGTATATTACTTATATAGTAAATTTTCTCTTGAATGCAAGGAGAAATAAGCTACACTGGCATAAAACACTCCTATGGTATACAGACTATGCCCACTCCACCAGTTATCATTGTTATTTAAAAATCAGATGCCACTAACTGAAAAAAAATAGGCTAATACAAAAGTGTGTCTAGAACTCGCCTGTAATTTCCACATCTTATTTTAGATTTTTCTGATTAGATGAGATTGTTCTGGTTTTTAATGAACTAGTTCAGCTTCTACAGTCTTCAGTTTCCAAGGTGAAGAATGACCCATGTTCATTTTACCAATCTCCCAATCACAAATTTGTTAGCTAATTTTGTTGCTCTGAGTATGTCCAACTTCTCATAAGACATTTTCCAATCATTTGGCTAAAAATCCCCCAAAATAATTAAGATCTCTATATTTTTAATCTATGCCTTGGGATTTGACTTGCTGAGTATAAAAAGAATCAGTGAGGCAGAGACACAAGACATTTCTCTGCTCTTTAAGGGTTAGAGTTATGGGTGTTGAATACAGTAAGAGATTTCTTTTCTCTCTTGAAGTAGCCTAATTCTGAAGAATGGCGCTGAGTGACCTCCTTTACCCAGATAACCCCAAGAGACGGCAAGAACTGATCCACTTGCACCAAGAATTGCTCGACTGCATGGCCACAAATTTCCGTGCAACAAATGAGCTGGCTGGAGTGCTGAATGAACACCTGGGTTGTACCATTACCCACATTCACATGAGAGAGAGCAGCACTGTCAAGGAAAATTGTGATATTATCATTCAAGCAATGAGTGAGATTCAGCATCAGGTACAGAAGATTGATAGTGACATGAAGGAAAAGCTCGAGCCTGTGCTGTACCAGAAGCTGTATGACATCAAAGAGCCCGAGTTGGAGAAAATTGCAATAGCCCATAAAGTTTTTTCCATTGTTCTTGGTGAAGCGACTTCAACAGCTGCGATGGTAGCCATCAAACTACTTAGCTCCAATGTTATAACTCTCACTGTGAGCAAGCTTGTCAGCCTCCTTGCACAGATTGGGGCATCTGTTCTTGGGGGAATCAGCATCACCATTCTTGGGCTTGGCATTGAAATGATCCTCCATGCCATCCTAGGAGCTGTGGAGAGGAATCAGCTTCTGGCAGCTGTGAGGAGCTACGAGAAGCACCTGGCTGAGTTTAAGGCAGCCTCAGAAAAGTACCAGCGTGCCATACGTGAAGTGACTTCCTTGGTGAGACAGCAGGTTCAGGGAATGAAGACTGAGTTCTCTCTCCTGCTGTGACAGCCACTGCAGCAGCTATGCCTGCAGAAATCTTTCTGATTCATTATGGTAAATGAACTACTGATGGCTTTTTTTCTTATTTGTGACAGCAGAGCAAGAGATGTGACAAATCAGGGAACTGGCACCGAATTATATGAACAGATAACTGACCTATAGGTGCCTCTGGGAGGCAACGCTTCAAATACTTTGCACCTTTGCTTCAGCTGTTTGTGTTGTAGATAACCTTGGACTGTAATGTGGACTAGCAACAATAATATTCACTGATGGAGCAGTAGTGGTGAGAAGGTGTGATTTTTCTCTTACTGTGTTTCTACATCAGAGATGACAGCATGATGGGAGGAGATAAATTCAACAAGCCAGTTCATGTCATCATCTGGAGGGCATGTCAGGATGGCTGTGGTTCCTAAACTCTGTGTGTGGATTAGTGCTAAATCTGACTGGCTGAATTCCCTGTTCATGGAAGTGCTTACAAGCGCTAGCTGAAACACATTTAACTGCTATTTCCTGTCCCATCCCTGCCTAAGAAGCCAGACAGAGATATACTTTAAATAAACTCTAATCCCAGCAGATCAGCAGGTAAGAGAAACATGGGCCTACAGGCACACACACACGATGTTGTCCCACAGCTGAGGGAAACCAGCTGTAGTGTTCCAGGCATGCCTGGCTGTGAACAACCTCTCATGCTCAGTCGTGCCCCGCTCCTGCCAACCCACAGGCACACGTTTCTGTGTGCAGTTGCTGCCCTGTTGACTGAAATGGGATTATACAGATGTACAAGTGTCTGTAGGATTGCAGCCCTACGTATTCGATACATTTATTTTCCTTTTGAGTGCTTTACTCAGACCAAAGTGGGACTGCCAAGAGCGTGCCCAGATTCTGCATTTCACAATAGGCTACCAAACGCCCTTGTTTTTCAGATTCTAAAAACAAAGCTAGAAGCTGATTTCCAGTCTCTTGCTCTGATTTGCTGTGGTGTGCAGTTTTTGCTTTGATCTTTGGGGGACAAAAAAGTAAGTTAAGAATTAATAAAAATACACCTGAATATTACAATATTTATCTTTCCAGTAGTTGGTTTATATTTTGGTTCTGTCTCAAAAATCAATCTCATGCCAAATAATTAAAAAATATTAAAGTCTTCATTACAGATGTGAGTTATAAGTTCTTGTTTATATCCATGATAGACTTATCTAGTAAGATTTTGTATTGGTTCATTTTTAGTACCAGCTTCCCCCATAGTATAAGTATACTCAAATTCGCACTTGTTTATTAATAGTCAATATTAACAAAATTAGGTTATTATATTAATAACTGTGAAAGTAAAGAGATGGGTAAGATTACAACAGGGAAGCTCCCCATTGTCTTCTTAACACTTGCGATTCTGGGTTTTGGTTTTGTGTTTTTTCTTTTCCTTTCCCACTGTTCCTATTTTTAATCATATTTTCAGACTCCTCTTTGCTTTTGTATTCAAAAGCCACTAGATGGCAACGCAGCTGCAGGCTCTCAAGCAGCTCTGCCAGCCATCAGGCAGAATGCCTGGTGCCCAGGAGCAAACGCAGGTGCCAGAGACTGACAAACTGAGACCAGCACAAGCCGCAGACTGGGCGATGTGAGTCAGGAGAGGCAATTCAGAGGAGGAAAAAAGCATTACCTTGCCTCACACGAGGTATTGCGGGCGACACGGGTGACCTCATTTCCCCAAGATGTGACATCTCCCATCTCCTGACACAAGTGGCACTCAGTTTAGAGGCAAGAGACTGTCAGTCAGCAGAACAGCAATATTTGAGTGTTGGAGAGGCAAGAGTTTCTGGATCCTGCAGACTTTCTATGTACAAATGTACATTGTAATTTAGGAAGAAAACCCACCAGCTCAGTACATATCTTTGTGAGAGTGCCAATCACTGCTGTACGAGAATAGTGGAGTCAAATAAAACGAAACCTGTTGTACTTTTCAAGCTGCTTGTCCACATTTTCTTGAAAGCAAATTCTAAGCAGTGGCAGGGGAAGTGGGATACGCAATTAAGAACACAAAAAGATACAAGTTCTACTCACCTCTTGATGGATCCTTGTTCCTGGTGGACTTAAAGGAACGCTGGCTTGCCCGCAACAGCAGGTGTGAAAGCTGTCTTTGTGCCTATGAGATGTTGGAAGACATTGACGATGTTGGAGGGTGGCGGGCGGCAGCCTGTCCCTCTGCTTATGAGGTGGTGAGCTCACAGACGCTGGGCCAGCATGCCCAGCTAGAACAGCCGCACATGATGTCACAGAGGGGTATGGCAACGTCCAGCTGTAACAAGGCGGTTTGGAGGGAGAAAACTGCCAATCAGCTTGGGCCCTTCCCAAAGTCTTTCCCCCATCTCTGGCAATAAGAAAATCAACAGGATTTGCCAGCATTACTGACAGTTGTGTATTTTTCTTTATTAGTAGTTTTTTCTTAAACTGCATGCAGCATGCATTTAACTGGCTAGATGCAAGTGAGAGCACTTGGTGGCATAGAAACCAGCTTCTGCTTGGTAACTGAAACTCTGTCGTACAAAACGAGAAATAAATCCTGCTCTCTTTAGTCCTCTGACCAGTCTTACACTTGGTCCTCCAAAGATGTCATAACCAGTCTGGGGCTAGCCAGTCTGCTGATGCTTCTCCTGTTGACTTCCTGGAGCTTCCTCTTGGTGTGACCAAGTTTGCCAACTAAGTCTCCATGATTTGAAAATCCCCAACAACATTGTGTAGCATGCCACGTCCACCCAGAGCAGGAGGTTTACAAATCCTGCTCAGAGGTCAGACCACCTTTGCTCCCAGGTGCAACTGTATATAGGAAAATGTCCTTCCTACACCTTCTTCCAGCACGTTAGTTCTGTAACCCTGCACCCACACTTTATTGCTTGCTCCTCCTTATTCACAGCAATGTAACTGGTACCCAGGGAGATGCTCTGTGTATCTTTAACCTGTTTCTTTGTGTGTATGGGGACTTTTGTCAGGAGAAGCACTTTAGGCAATGAGGCAGAACAGCTTCCACCAAGCGTCCCCCTGCCTCTGCAAAGCTGGTCACCAGTATGCTGCAGGGGCTTCCATGGCAGGGGGAGTACAGGGAAAAACAGGTAACAGAGTAGAACCTGTGGCTCCTGCTGGCACCAAACTACCTCTCCTGTTCTTTGTACGGCCCAAGTTGCCCACTGAACATCATCCAGATGCTTTTCTCCTGTAGTTCCTTGAAAACAGAAGTTACCACATGAGCCTAATAGAGGGAAACCAGCCTTGCTGACAGTGCAGGCCAAATCCAACAGGAAACACATATAACATCTGAAGTCTACGGAACTACTGCTCCCTCAGCGCTTCACCTTTATTCTGCACAGAGGCTTCTCATAAGTCCCTCAGCTCTGTGTTCTTCCAGGACGGAGGGGAAGCATTTTGTAGGATCTCCCCAGGAAAGTGTAGGGGAAGAGTGACAGCAGCGACCACATTCACGGAGCTCCTCTTCTGTCTAAGCGTATTTCCTGCACAGGCCATACAGCCGTAGCACTCCTCCCACCCCAAAAGGCGCCCTCTCTCCATACCTCTCTTTAACTCGAGAGGTACCGCTCCCAAACCCCCTTCCCGAGACCGGCGGGGCCGGGAAGGAGCCGCCCTC